GTGAACCGTGCGACACTGACGAGACAATAGAACATCTACTGTGTTCTTATGAACGTTTTGCGAGCGAACGCAACTTGCTACGCGAAACGTTAGAGACAATAGACAGTAGACCTTTTTCAGAAGAGAAGATACTTGGCTCATGGCTCTACGCGTCGCTGGCCAGCAAAGTGACGCGGGCATTGCTAAGTTTTCTAAAGACGACCGGACTACGCGACCGCTTATAAGCGTGCAATGGACAAGGTCACATCTACACACACGTTGCCCCTCACTTCTTTCTCTCTTCTCCTTTAATCCCCTCACCCCTTCCCCCAGTGCAGGGTAGCAAACCGGACGTGCGTCTGGTTGACCTCCCTGCCTTTCATTTCTTCCCTTCTTCCTCCTCCTCCTCAACCACTTGGTGCATGAAACCTTTTCGAATTTGCTATGCACCCATTACGGGGCCTTAAGGGAATAGGCGCAGTGGCGTGCGTGTCTTTTGTAATGGGGTACGGGCTTTCAACCATGCAGCCATTATGATAATCATATATTCACAGAGGGAGACGACGATGAAGTGCTCCTCTTTGTGCTCTCCGATTTTTTCGGTGAAACCTTCAGGTTTTTCTGGTGCCTCGGCTCCACGTCTTGTAGCCATGGACGCGGGGCCTTCCGAAGGACCGCTTGGCCAGCAGTCAACTCGGCGGACCACCGCGAGGAAGAGAGGAACTTCACCCAGTGACAGTGAGGACACAGAGCTGTACTCAGTCGCCTCGGAAAACGACTCATCCGACACGATGATTTCATTCCCGTCCGGAGCAAGAGGGTGAAGAGAAAGATCATCAACGTGACCTCGCATTCTTCTGCGAGTACAGCGACTATGAAGTTAAGGCATGAACGTTGGCCACACGTCATCATCTTCGTGCCAGAAGAGTCCTCAGGAAACCTGCCACTGCTGAACAGGCAAGTACTCTCCACTTTTTTGGAACGTGTGGTGCCTAGTGAAATCAAGGACATCAGAGTTAATAAGCGAAAAAGTACTCGCCATAGACGTATTCCACGCGAATGCGCTTGGACCACTCAAACAAGTGACTGAGCTAGGCGGCATCAAAGTGCATCCCTTTATACCGATTGAAAACTACTTTATACCGCATGAAACTATCCCTTTATACCGCATGAAAACTACTTTCACTGCATTTCCGAGCAGAGGAAGTTCTTTTCACGGTTTTTCACAAGCATCGTGGCCGTGTGGTGGAGCATACGCTTGCCCCGCAAATGACCCGAGTTTGATCCCCAATTGGACCCAAACAACCCTGGTTCGGTCCCCACTCTGCTCTAGGGTTTTTATAATTTGTTTTATTTTATTTGCATCGTTCTTGATTTTTCGGTCACGCATATATTTTATGTTTCGTTATGGGTGTTGTTTCCGTTTGGGTTCTTTATTTGCTCATTCATTGTAATCAGTGTGTACCCCCATATTGTTACATTGCTTAGGAACTTACAACCTGGATGTACGACCCCACCCTTTATGTAATGCCTTCGGGCCCTTGAGTTTGAATAAATGAAATGAAATGAGAAGATCATTTTTCACTCACAACCAACGACGCCGATGCTGGAATTTCTGCGAAATGAGCTCTTTAACGCTATCGCGTCAAAGCTCGGCTACATCAATCTCCTTATAGCAGCGTTGAATTATGTGGTCAGCCTATCGGGCCCTCGCTAATGACTCTCTGCGTGGTCGAATCTGTTTTTTTTATGCACAGACTGGCGTTGTCGCTTCTGCAAGGACTTTTGACGACTCATACAGCAGCGTAAAGGGACTGAGTATAAGGTCTTGTAAACACCACCTCATAACTTTGTGTGCCATAGCGGTGGATGCCAGATTTTAGACGTTTTGCCCCATAAGCTTCTACTTAACTCGTTGCTTTCAAGTTTTCAAGAAGCCTATTTTTCGCCAATGTTAACTCAAGTAGCAACAAGTGCTTACATAACGATGCCCGATGCTGCTAATACTCTTGTTTACATAGACGACAAAACACTTACATGTGCAGTCATAATAACACTTTATAAATGTTATCTTTGAACCAATATTATGTGAACCTTATTCCGGAATTCAGAACTTCGTTTCAAGCTTTCGCAGATGGTACATAATTTCGCACTTCTTAGAAGGTGCCTACTTGCCCATTGTCACGTTGGCGTTTGAAACTACCAGCTCTGTACACTGCTTCCACATACGCCTTCTGCCGCTGCATATAACGACCTCAAAGGGACACTTCTACAACACCTGAAACGTTTGAAAAAGAGGCGTTCCTTTTTTTAGAGAGGAAGTACGTTGGCGAACACCTTTAGAAGCACTGAACCATATGGGCTCATCGCGGGGGAACAATGCTAAAACGAGAGTCAGCATCCAATTTCACCTGAATATACGTGGCATTCTGTGGGGTTAAGGTTTGTCGCTGCTGTCTCGAAAACAATGGGTTTTCATGATGATTAAATGCTTGCGAATGTTGTATTGCGCTGTCTCGGCGCACGTTAAAGAACCCAATGTGTGCGAAACCATCCATAGCCTACTTCTACTGCATCTGTCATAGCAGAGTATATTTGAAAATAAATACAAGGCAGATGAGGCAACGTGAATGGCCCGTGTAATTCCCTCAAGAGTTCACATGCATGACACTAGTGCGCTAGACGGTATGCAGCTCAAGCGGCTGTCCATCCTCGCTAACCCTGTTTGGCTTCTCCAAAGCGACGTATCAACGCTGCAAGTCTCAGAGTCAGGAGACATACTCCCTCACTTGAAGGAAGGCGCTGACCACCTGGACGCTGAGCCAGATGAACTGATGACTGGCGGCAACTCTGACGATCTGTCTCGGCGCAACAATATCATTTCTCATCTTGTAGTAAGTTGACAGCTTCTGGTATAACGAATGGTCACAAATTAACGTTCATAACATCTTTATTTTCTCATGGAAGCAAAAAAAAAACGCTGGTGTAACCACCACTTTTATGAAACCACACAGTTGCGGTACCTAGCTCTATTTGTGAACGGGGAACGTAACGGCCGGCCGCTAAGTCACCATGTGAGAGGCATCTTCATCATCGCACCCCTTTCTCCATTATCTGCAACATCACAGAAACCAGCCTAATCGTTGACACCGTCACTCATGAAGGTAAAAAAAAAGAATGGAGGGAGCATAACGTTACGCATTCAGCCTTAGCAAGTCAGCCCATTTTGAAGCCAGCATATCGGCCCAACAAGTAATACAAAAGTATCCCAAAACCCTGATATGATTATACGAGAGACGCCGTAGTGAACGGCTCCGCAAATTTTGCCAATCTGGTGTTCTTTCACGTGCACTGACACTACGCAGTACACGGGCCTCTACCATTTTGACTCCATCGATATGCGACCGCCGCGGCTGGTACCGAACCCTCGATATTACCGGGGTATGGCATCCGATAGCTCTTGATCAAAACGCGTCTGTTCGACGCAGACCAGTCGGCTCGCACAAGTTCAAAGACGAAACACCACCGAGAGTACTATAACCTACTGCACGCTGTGACGTCTTGATTGCATGTTGCGCTAACACGGTGGGCTTCGCTCGTGTGACGTAATAATCCCTCTTTTTTTTCTTCCTCCATTCTGTAGCTGATGTGTGCATATGGTGGACGTGGCCCACGGTGTAGTTTTACAGCCACGCTATTTGTGATCAACAACACCACCATCGCGTAACACGGGCTCCGTTCACCGATGCGTGAAATGGGGCCAAAACACCAGTCCAGATGTTCTTGGTCTCACGCAAATTTTGGCCGTGCTAGCAGCAGGCATCTTCAAGTATTTCGACGTGGACGTGTGCTGTCGGTAGGCACGTAAAGCATAATACAACATAACCGGAGCACTTCCCCAACGGTCTGATCTAACCTCATCTCACATCCGTTCATATAAGCCGGTCTCAATGCAAGAGGCACTTGCTTAATGCTCGCAACCCACGAATATGCGTCACGGTGTGCCACTCTTTAAACACAAGCTTACGCATCATGTCAGAACTGGTCTGTATGTCGTGACCCATCGATGAAGGGACGCTGGGAAAAGGTTGGACGTCAACCGCCATAAGCTCTAAAGAAGGCTCCAACGATATATGGCTGGATTAGTTTTTTAGCGAATTTATAAATTAACGGTGTCGTGTCTGCCATCACGTAATCAAGTTACATCATCAAGTTGTTCGATTCTTGTAGAACATCTTTCAGAGAGCAGAGCTAACATGAACCAAACACACTGCTTGCAGGAAAAGGAGAAAAAGTAAGATGGATGCGGTACTGATGTTGAATACAATAGTCTCTTCGAAAACAAGGTGGTTTTGTGCATTGAAACACAAAGAGGGAAGGACTTTTCTATTGTATCTACCGTGGTTTACGTTAGTGCGGCAACTATCAATTTTACATCGAGAAAGCACAGAGTAGAAGAAGCGACAACATTATTTTGGAGTTTGACTGCTACAAACATGACATGTGGGCAGCACTCGTGTTTCAGGACACAGGCAAGACGCAAGGCGTGAATAGACCTCAGAATTAACATATTTGAACATAAATACAAAACATAAATGCGCACAAGATACGCTAAACTTCATTAATGTACTTGCTGCAATGGTCCAAACTAGTTATTTGTGGTTATGTAGAGCAAAGCAGAACATTTGAAACAACATTCACTTGTAAGCGAAATATCCGCATTTCTTGCTCTATATCACAAGAGAAAGGATGCTCTTTGTGTGCGAGCAAAACAACGTCAACACTGTCTTGCACCCTCAGCACTCAATTCCACGATTATGCTCGTAATCCTAAGGCATGAGGTCACATTTTGCGAACAATAGGATACAGAATCAAGCGTGTTTCTCCACAAGCGATAGCTCTTTCAGCCAGATGAGAACATTTATTTACGCAGAGTGAATACCTTTCGAATAGAGCCGCGTTTGTATAAAGGCCCCCTGAAAAGAAAGCCCTGTTTCTATATACTTCCATACACGCTTCTTGGGAGGTGGGATCACTTCTAGGGAAAGATGAAGCTCGTTGTGTCCGGTCTTCTTGCACTTTGTGTATTTGTATTCTTCGATGCCCGTAAGTGCAACACGTCCTTTTCTGCCTCTTTAGCGCCCCATATGTCCTCATGTTAATAGTTACCGGAGAACCGTTACTCGATCATTACTAATTTTACAACCAGGAAGATGAGATGTTGTAGTACAACCAATTCTACAACTAAAGAAAGTTACATGTTTTAACACGCATAATCTCAAGGAAAGTGTGTTTTTGGGTGCCATTTATAAGAATACTTCTGTGTTTAGAAGTATTCTTCGATCACGTCGCACGCAGCCTGACTGTTTGCGAATCTGTTTATTTACACTAACGCGTGTTAAATCGATAAAGAGGGAGGAAAGCATGCATAGTGGACAGGGCAGTCCTCTTTGTTGTTTTTTGTACGCAAAAAGTCTGACCCAGGATGATTTAGCTGCATAGGCATAAGCAGGTGTCGTGGTGTTTTTGTTTTATTTTCAAGGCATAACTTGCGACCCAGCAAGGGGACGGTGAAGATGAAGACTCAAAACGTAACACCTGGTAGTCAGTTTACAGTCCGCTTTTAAGGCTATATCAGCCCGCAGATACGATATCAGCTTTGAATGACCGACTAACAGAGCAGCCCATATAGACAATTCGTGCGCAAGCTCGACTGTTGAAAAAAAAACATAACGAACAAGAAAATTTTAGTGAACGTGTCGGACTACTCGACTCACTTTCCATTTAATTTGCACACGTTGACTATGCAATTTGCGTTCCCGGAATAACCTTGAGATATGGTCCTGTAGGATACAAATCAGAATTGGACGCAACACTCCAGAAGGTGAATTGCGATGAGATGTTTGTTTTTTTATTAACCAGTGCAAAAAAGGTAGCTATTGTGGACTCGAAACGAGTATTTAGCCCAAAAAAGTGCCAGCTTACAACTGCTTATTTTATGTAGGCGACGTTGCCTTGGACAAGTTTACACGCATCCATTTTCGATAGTTGGTAGAACTGACTTATCTTTTGAAAGTGCAGAAAAGAAATCAGGGTTTCAATGTCCAGCAGTGTGATCACTGTAGTTGCACTTCTTGTTTCAAAGAACGGCAGTTCCAGTGAAACATGTGAATAATGAGGCAAGAGTGACTGTTGAGGTCCCGGAAAGTGTTAAGCGTGTCAGCAGTACTAGTCGTGAAGAAAGAAAAGTCGATGAAAGGATAACTAGCCTTTGGAGATGACAGAACGAGCTACCTTCAAAAACGCGCCTGACGGTTTACCAACCGAGCTATAGTGATGGTCATCTCCCCGTCCACTTAATAGGGTATGTATGCGGAATTAAACGGGGACATGCCAACATGCCAATCAGCACCGCTTTTAGGGATGGCTGCGAGTGTAGAACACTATTTTTCGTCGTGTTGGCGTGGCGTAGCGCGTGAGTTTATTACGAGCTGGCAACTCAACAATGAACCTTTGCATGCTAACAAAAGGTTCAAGTCAGCCAGAACCAGATTCTCACTTTCAAGGAGGGAACGAAGTGGAAAATTAAGAGTTTCTTTTTTCTTTGTTAGATATGAGAACTATAAGACGCAATGATACAAAGGAAACTAAACGGCGTATTAGTAGCAGTGATATTCTAAACTGGATAAAGGAAAAAAAAAAGGTAGACTAAAAGATAGTTTGCCGCATGAAGGGACCAAACCTGCGATGTTTTGCCACTCGAACCTACTCAATTTGTCACTCGAGCATTTCTTTTTCGTCATTGTAATATTATAACCCCATACTTTCTTTGGTATCTTGGCCTACAAAACGAAACCTTAAATTTCCACTCAATCCAGGCATTTTCTAAAAAAAATAATGAATGCCAGCCTTCGTTTGTTGTGAGCCCCGAAGAACTGACGTTTGTAGAGTTCCAGGACTGTGGCACGCACTCTTTATATTAACGTTCTTCTTTAAAGCACTTCTACTGTGCATCGCGAGAATTCCTATGACCTATAAAGTTTTGTGCTTACATTTCTAAGATAGTGTTGAATTTAATATAGATTGAAATCTGGCGATGTCTCAAATCTTTTTACGGTGTCTGTATCAAGAGGAGCCGCGGTGCACATCATCAACGTTGGCGTTTGTTTCTTGAATGCTACATCTGTGCCCTATCAATTTTTACACATAGAACTCCAAAATGAAGCATTGACCATAAGAACCTTGCCATTCTGGTTGAGAGTATGGTTATCACACTTTTTTATGCTTATTTGTCTTGTTCAGGATTATACAAAACTAACACATAAATATGTAACTCGGATATTTTCGATGCAAAAATTTAAGCATTGTTCTTCAGCAGAATTGTTTTCTTAGAGGATGTGCACACTAACGTACAGGAACATTGTGTACTTCCGCGCCTGGTTCTCCAGCATTTGATCTTGCAGCAAGTAACTCAAATGTTTTGCTTCTTTCCGCCTCATGTCCAACCTGGTGTTTGCATCACAGCCACAATAACCGGATTGTACGATATGGTAAGCAAAGTTGCAACCATTTTCAACACAAGTTATTTGTTACAAAATGTATCGCTCATGAAGTTGAGAAACACGAATGCATTCGTCGCAGTTGTTTCGTTTATGTTCATACCTGAAAATATGATAGTTAAGTCTGCTTGTGCACTGTGGTCCCCCCAGAATGACATTCATGCTGTTTCAGTAGTTGTGGTTGAGAGAAGTGGGCATCACGAGAGATTGAGAGATGATAGCACCACGACAGGGTACCACGGAAGACAGAGTGAATTGATGGACGCGAGGGATTATGACATGCGTCTCTATACGTGTGTCCGTCATTGTGACATTTGTCCTGGTACGTGTGTCCTTCTACGTGTGACGCGTTTCTGTTCTAGTGCCGTGGGGTCTTGAAATGGGCTATCAATGTGGAAACTACGAGAGTGAAATAACTTAAAAAATAAGGATGTGGTGGAGTTAATTCAGCAACTATTCTCAAATCATGAGTGTCTACCTCTTTTCTACCTCTACCTCTATTCTTAAGTCTACCTCTATTCTATAGTCTACCTCTATTCCTAAAGAGGAAGGTATATAACATCTGCATCTTACCGGTACTTGCGTACGGAGATGAAACCTGGAAGCCTAAAAATAGGTTTGAATTGACATTAAAGACGGCGTAGGAGTGATAAAAAAGAAAAATTACAGGTGTAACCTTAAGATACCGAGAGAAAGAGAGAGAGAGCAGAGTGGGTCAGGGAACAAACCGGGATAATGATATAACAATTGAAATCAAGGAGAAGAAATGGACGTGGGCTGGACATGTATAGCGCGTAGGCAGGATAACCACTGCTCATCAAGGGTAACTGACTGGATTCCAAGAGAAGGCGAATGCGTGACAGGACGACAAGAAATTATGTGGCCAGATGATATTACGACGTTTACAGGTATAACATGGCAGCAAAAAGCAGAGGACCGACTTGATTAGCAGAACATAGGAGTGACATTTGCCCTGCATTAGACGTAGTCAAGCTCGTGGTGATGACAGTGATCTAAGCAATGAATGCGATAGCAACAAATTGTAATGTTATACGAAGCGAATCTAGCAGCTAATTGCTTTAGATTTGATGTCAGGCAACTCTATGAAATGCTGGTGTTGAGAATGCGGCCCCTCAAGAGACTTTTTCTGCACTGTATCTTCGCGTTGAGAGCGCAGCACGTACAAGTTTATAGACTCTTTTTTTTTCGTAGGTCCCACCATTATGTCTAGCGGCGGCACTTCCAGTGGTCTGGCAGCCCACTCGATGTGCAAAGCTCCTTGTGAGGGCGAGATACCTACCGAGCACGTCGATGGACGACCTGCCACCGCTGCAGCGTGGCCGACAAAACCATACAGCACGTTGTACTCTGCACTGACTTTCAGCCTGTGCCTCCGCTTGAGCACAGAAACCTCAGCGCCTTGGCAGCTGGGCTGAATTTCCGTGAACAGGGTGCGCCCCCAAACGGAAAGCGGTGGAACTAACTAAACGGTGGCTGCAGCACTGATGGCACATTAAAAATGACCGAGGTGCCTCGAAAGCGAAGCCAACTAGGACTAATTTTTTTTGTTTCAGAAGAATTTTTGGTATCTAGAAATCTCATTCGAGAATCAAATATGCCTGTTGATCGCACGTTTCAGAAAAATTAACATCACCGCCATTATCATCAACCGCGTTGGAAGGTATTCTTGCTATGGAATGGAATAAAAAAACTTTATTTTAGCCCTGCAGGACGCGCTTAGCGCGTATCGGGCGTCTTCCACGTAGGGATCGACAGGGAGTACCTACAGAAGATTTTTCGTTTTTGGGGGCTGAATTTCTTTTTAAGTGATGCAGTTTAGATATGAAATAGTCTATAAGACGTCCTCAATGGTTCACATACGTTCAGGGTCAAATATATCAAAATACAACAGCGCAAACCTGCCACCAGTGGTCGATGTCATATATTTTCAGCACTCTTTTTGCCAAAAAAACGCGCAAATATTTTGACTCCATCTAGACTGGGAGGCCAGTGCTGGTACCTAGGGAACATTTTGGGGGAGGGGGAGATGGTTAACGTCTCAAAACCACCATACAAATATGAAAGACGCCGTAGTGGAGGGCTTGCTTGATATGTGGAGTTGGGCGTCCCAAAACCACCATATGATTATGAGAGACGCCGTAGTAGAGGGCTCCGGAAATCGACCACCTGGGGTTCTTTAACGTGCACCCAAATGTGAGCACATGGGCCTACAACATTTCCGCCTTTATCGAAAATGCAGGTAGTAGAGGGATCCAGAAATTTAGACCACCTATGGTCCTTTAACATGCGGCCAAATGTGAGCTCACGAGTCTACAGCATTTTCGCCTCTATCGAAAATGCAGCCGCTGCAGTCGGGAATCAGTCCTGCAACCTGCGGGCCAGCAGCCGAGCATCTTAAGTATCTTAACCACTAGACTCCCTTGGTGTAAGCCACCGTGAATATATAATGTACACAGCTTCAGCCGTGCTAGTTTGAGCGTGGTGCTCTTTGGGAGGACACGGCGGGGAATTATTCCTCAGATTGGGACAGCCAGCCATCATTAACGATGACGTAAGCATTTCACCCGAAGAATGCCAAAGTGAGCTTATTTTACACTGTGTCACCCACGTAACTGCTCCTTTTGCTGGACACCTTCACCACGTGCGGGGCTCATTATTATGAAAATTGTGAGCTTTACATTGGACCTTAATGTGCAGCAGGGAAAGCTAAATTAGCCAACATTCACTTCACTTCGTGTGGACGCTTTGAAACTCAACAAGTTCTGCTGAAAAAAAACTATGAAAGGGCATCAAGTGAGTAGACATTTGTCTGTTATACTCCACTACTAAAAACAGTCATCAAAAAAAAAAAAGGTGGAGTAGTTGCATGGGTCTCTAAGGGTTTCCGACATAGGGAGCGGCGATGATGAAATGTTTCCCCCAAAATATCTGTTCTGAAATACGTTGTTAGGAAACTTCTTCAGACATCCATACGACAAGACTAACGTGACAACTCTCTTTACCCAAGTGCCATGTCCGCTTGTTCACTTTAGGTCGTTTCACTGCGGACCTTGACGTGTGTTTCTCATGAAGGCATTTCACTGGCACTTGTCAAATGGTTTGAAGAATACATACTGGGCTCATTTTACTTTGTGTTTGTCCAAATGGCTCATCAGTTATACCGTAATTTATGAGGTTGCGAGCATCAGTAATTGTAAAGAAAAGTACCAAATGCATTTTCAGCCTGCTGTCACCAACACGACTCTGTACCTCGTGGGATACTCACAGGAGCTATATGACAAACGCTATCGGTGCATCAACACTACTTATGAAGGCCGACAGCATCACTGGGTTCAAAGGAACCTTTACGTCACCTATAACTTTGTGAGTTGTGTTTATATCTTTAACAAAGCTCTAATTCCCACATACGTAGCCCGCTTTTTTCCCGGCCATAATAGCGTACATTTGAAAGTAGCGAACTGCACTCCAGGGCTGGTTACCAACCTGATGGCCCTTTGCCAACCTTTAGCACAATGTGCTCTAAATATTAGTGTTGTGTAAGATTGCATTTTATAATTTACAGTCACTTCTAGCATTCGCCAAGGGGGCGATGCACCTAGATATTAAATAGTTTTACTAACTTACAGTGTGCTCTATGCCCTGTCTTTGCAGAACAATCTCTTGGTTAGTACCGACAAATTTAGGCTGATGTAATCCCCTCCTTTTGTAACAATGTTATTTGTCAACTGCGACTGAATTGCAAAACAAGAACAGTATACACTGACGAGTTGGCTGTCGCCGATTGAGACTGAAAAAACGACAGTGCTTCATAATGTCAAGCCGCTCAGTGATGCTTCCCCTTAAAACGCAGATATTAAGTGCTAATTTGTTCCCAAGGCGACGTCACCGTTGTCGGGTGTCGGTGTAACAAATAGAGGGAACGAGGACGAAATAGAGTGAACGCAGAGTAGGTGAATATCACACGCCACTGGCCTCCTTCTAACCTCCTTTCTTCCTCCATCACTCACGCTGGCCTCTTGGTCGGAACTCGTGCACTGCAGCTGGCTTCACTTGTCGAAACGAGGCTGTCGGCGTCTCCCGGCGTTGAAGACGTCTGGACAAAATGCTATAATTAGAGAAAGCTCGAGCTTCAAGCGCGATTGGCGTCACCCAAACAGGAAGCAGAGCTCATAGTTCGGATTGCGCAGTAGCGTAAGCGTCAGCGCATCAGTTATTGCGAAAGCACTCATTGATTCCCCCGTTGCGACAACACTTCTGTGTAAACTTGCTGCGCATTTTTGTTGGCACCGTGAAGGTTTCTGAGATCCTAGCCAACCCCACCAACACGTTCGCTATGTGATCTGTGTGCGTGAAAGCGTGAGAGGGCATCCAAACATCATGACTCAACCGGAGAGGAAAGCGCCGCCCCTTTTTCGTCGCGCGAAAAGGGTCCCTGTTAGGGGGGTTAAATGGTATGGTACGAAGAAGTTTATTTAATGATCTGGAGTAGTCGTTCCAGCAGGAATGTGACTGCACCCACCCTAAGATCGCAGGCACGCCAGCTGCTCCCGCATTTGTGCTTCCTGCTCTCACTTCTCGATTTGCAATGAAGCGGTAGAAAACACAAGGGTGGCTGCACTCCCGGGTTCGGCTATATTGTTTTAAACCACACTTTTGCTGAAATGCGCCAGGTTCAAGGCTGAACTGGTTGCCTGCTAACGTTACCTCATATAACATCCACTTCTCGCTGCCACATTCATCGCTTTGCCTTTGCGATGTAGTCGGTTTTATTGCGATAGCAATTATATGGACACACTCGGCTGCTTTTTTTTTTTGCCGTCGCCATCATGCCCTTGTGTGAATATGTATATAAATAAAAGGCACAAAGAAAATAATTTCCTATGCACGCGCTATCTGTCGTTTCGTAGAGTGCGGCGCTAACCATTCTGGCACAGCAGCGCACATGTTTCAGCATACTAACGGCGAGATTTGTGCGCACGCCATTCACACCCCTGGCAATACGCGGACCTCTGGGGTGGGGTGGGGGGCTGTGACCAGCGTGTTTTCTGCCTCACCAGCGAACAAGTGAGATGGCGCCAAGGGCACTCATGGTGTCCCAATCGTGGCAATTTGTTGACTCGTACCCTGCACTTTTGACTTACGTGGCGTAGTGGTCCGTGCAAGAGCGTGCGAGCACTTATCTTCTGGCTAGGGCAGTTTGTACGTCGTGTGCGTTTTTCTCCAGAAAGATTAAATTTAGGTTACAGATTGCACACAGGTCCCTTTGCTCGTTGTAGAGGCCCCGTTAGCAATAAAAAAAAGAAAGTTGTTCGAAACACAGAACTAACAACATTAACACTAGTTAGTTCCGTATAGCTGTCTGTATGTTTCATGCATACTCAGTGTTAGAGAAGCGCATAAAGTATCGAACTGCAAACGTTGTTAGTACGCTCTCATTCTCTGTGTGTTTTTTTTGTGCGTCTTTCGCGGTCGGGCAACGCACTCCTACACTCCATCTGCTCGCCGTCCTCCACGTGACATCCCAATAAGCTACTATCGCATTCATTGCTTCACCCTTGTGGCGAAACAGACATTTTCAATAACCATGAGTTGCGACGGTTTCCTTAACCAGAGCTAAGATCAGCGGATATCTCGTCCGATCAAAGAAGCAAGAGCCCAGATATGAAGTTGGAGCTCACGTTGAAGCGAAAACGTGAATCGCATGCCTTCACACTGATTTGTTCGATAAGTTGGCTGGCGAGCCCGGTCAGACGCCTGTCCTCACTCACGATATGGGTATAGGGCTCACCTAATCGAAGCAAATATTCTATTAAGGGTATCTATGTCGGCTCATGAACTTGAATCAAAAGGACCAAAGATTTGCATGCTATTGCATTGGGGCATTCAGGAGGTGCTCGAGCGCTAATATAAAATACCCCACTAAAATTTTTTAAAGAAGTGCATGACAATTATACCTGCTTCGACATAGAACACCGTAATACATATGTCATTGCAAAATAAACAACGTAACAATGACAACATATCATGGAACGCGTTGTGAAAACAGGCAGCGTGAAATTTCTGTCCACCGTCTGTCTGATCCAGCACAATAATCCTTCCAACGAAGTCACAAAGTAGAACGTATGGTTTCGACGGATGGACAAGACCTCGGACCGGTTGTGTAATGCAAAATATTTCTCATCTAAAGTATCCTAACAAGATTTTCTTTTCGAAAGTATGCAAATCAAATGGATTTACCTATCTTGTTTCAAGAGCAGCCACGCCACGTGACCAATGGCAGACGATATAGACATGTGAACGAGGAGGCGCTCTCGAACTGAAGGACGTCATGCCGGTCATTGCGCATGTGGCTGCCTGCTCAATATACATTGTTTTGGGGAGGTTACCATGAAAACATCTGCAAACAACTTTTGACTATTGACGATATGTCACAGTTTTGCTTGAAAATCGCAGGCACAGGCTTCTCAAAAAAATATCAAGAAGAGAAGAATGGGCAAACCACGTCCCTCCTGTAATTTGTAACTATAAGAACGGGTTTTCCCAGAAAGGCCAGCTGTAATACTGTGACTCATAATACGCTGCCTTTAAAAGAGCTTAATTTGCGGGAAGAATTGCAAATGGTGGATACTTAACACGAAGTGGCTAGAAAAATCATGCTACTACTGCTCAGGGACACAGGTACTTGGCACTTTCACGTCTGTGAAAGTATTCATTTGAGCTTGGTGCTGCTCAAATATGTGTTGCAGCACAGGATGACTATTCTACTACAATGTTTGCCGTTGGTTCTTTAACCAAGTTCTTCAACCAGGATGAGACTAAGAAGCAGACGTTTCAAACTTCAACTTACAGGTGATTCAAACGTGGACACCTCTCCGGAACGCCTATTGTAAATGCGTAGCGGCGAAAGAAATATCTCATCCTTCTATTCAATAGATTTTGGCTTACGCGTTGTTGTTCTCGGTTGGAAGCCCGCCTCATGCCAGATATGTCACGATGACTGGCTTGCGCCCTTGGGCGAGTCTACTTGGCATTGATCACAAGAGCTGGCAGCCAGCACTGAGCGAACGCCGAGAGACGGCGAAGGGTCGACTAAAATATCTTGGCTGTTTAACCACGCTGGTTCTTGAGCGAGCTGGAACAAATAAGTCATAATGGTGTTTAGCGCAAACACCAGACAAGAGACAAACGAGAGGACATTGGCACAGTGCACAACGAGAGGACGCAGATGCGGTGCTTTCTGTGTCCTCTCATTTAACTCTTATCTGGCGTTTGCGCTAAACACCGTTTCGACTGTTTAAAGTGACAATTTCGCTCCAAGTGCGAAAAATGAGTGGGATAGTAACTAATGGGCATGCCATAGAAAGTCAGCTTAGCAGCGCACTCTTCACTTATGCTAGCAGCTCACTCCGACGGCTGTAGTAGGCAAAGTGACCTTCACAAACTTTGCAGATATCACTGTTGAGTTTTTGCAAGCTTTGCGAACACTTAGCCAACTTCGCGTGTGAAACTTTGCTTTTATCGCAATGTTTAGCGCGCAAACTTTGTGATTAGTGCACACCGTATCGAAGTAAGGACCAACTTTCAGGCAAGCTACAATCCCCACTCAGTCAAAGTACGCACTCCTTCTCGAACCCTCTCAGCCTCTCCTCTGGCTCTCCAAGCGCCGTTCAGGTGACGGAGACGGCCCTCTTGTTTCATCTTTCGTTGGAAAGTATTTGTTGATAGCACAGGCACGTTTATCTTCGTACCTAGAACATACGGCATGTGGAGGGTGTTAATCGATTGCACATGATACAGAACACGACGGCAACTGCAAACATGCGCCTTGAGTGCAGTAAAACAAGGTTGTGACATTGCCGGGTGGCTTGGTACTTTCTTGCACTCAGAACCCCTTCAAGTTGGAACTAAATTGTTAATAAACATATCTGGTAATTCATTGGTTTCAAGGTGACTGTAGCAGCGGAGAATATTTTACATTAACGTAAAGTAAATGTGCGAGGTCAATAGGCGTCTTACTAGAATTTTGTTTTTATAACGAACGCTTGTTTTTTTTTTAGAGTACACGCTGTATCGGAACACAAGTTTCAATATCGTCTAAACTGGAGGTTCAGTCGAATGTGTTTTTTTTTTGCCTGCAATGATTTCTGTGAGACAGAAATTCAAAGGACCGCGATCTTCACTTCAGTAATTTCAAAGGGAACTTGTGATGTTTGATGACAGAAAACTAAGTAAACGTACATGGATATTACATTATGAATTTTTCGCTTTTTCTCCTTACAGTCAGGACTAACTAACAACTCATGGTGAGTATGAACTTTTAATGCTAAAGAGTAGACATAAAAGAGAGATTCACAGAATATACGAATTGCAACATTCATAATTTCCATTGCTAGTGGCAAAATGTGTGGCTAAGTAATAACGTAGTTACACTCTAGGAAACATCAACATAACTTTCTTGTGTCGTCACAGAGTGAGAAGAGATGTGGGAACAGTAAATCCCCATTTTAAACAACCTCATCAAGAGATGAGGTATTTTGACGCATGATCTTTTTCGTATATTTGTATATTATCACTATATTTCGCTCACATACACACCGCGTATACGGTGAACAGCCTGTGGTTGGGTGGACAAATGAACATACCAACGAATGGAAACGTTGGTGGGGACAACATTTCGTTGGTGTGAATAAATTTTTCAAAAATTCTTGCCCAAGATTAAGTAAATTGTAGAGAATTTTAGGAGACTTTCGTTCAACTTAAGGTTCATGGTAATAATGGCGATGATATTTGTATAAATATACGCAATGCAAAATGTACGTTAAAAACTGTAAACTATTATTTTGTGATTTGGGAGCCGGCCTGAAACTGTCATGACCAGGTAAAAAATAACCCACCCAAGCCCCAAGGTGTCGACCACACTCATCTTTCAACACAGCTTTCTATCAATTCTGCGATAACAGTGTGATCTATAATTTAGAACTTAAGTTTGACAGCACTGCAGACTGTGCATCCAAAAGTTATGTTGATAAGCAAATACATGTCACCGTAACTTTGTTTAAAATTTTCACAACAACGTTGAATAGTGTGCGTTCATAGCATTCAGCCACGTACACTTTCGTCCATAAAGAAAGTACCGTCTTTCTCTATCTTGAGATGCTCTGCGTAAACTTTTGATAGCTACAGTGGGGCGTAATATGAAAGAGGTGGCAATTCACCCGTGGCTGCCATTCTGCATACGAGAGAAACACGAGGTGGCTGCCATGGTGGTAAAATGGTCGCAGTGCTCAGCTGGTTTAGATTTGCTTTAGCGCATTATTAACAAACGATTAGCCTTTTACCTATATGGCCCAAGTTTCTTCCTGGTGACCGAATCTGTGAAAATTCCGTACAATTGAACTACGCTCACGGGGCTCAAAATTTTGTCGAAGATTACTTTGTCGTCCGTCTAATGCAAGAACGTTGCATTGAAAGTATTGTGCTTCTTAAAGAGGTTCACGATGCACTCGGCGATACACCAGAGTGGCTTTCTCTACTCGATGCGCTTGCTTCCTATTCAAAACTTTATTTATGGTCAACAAAAACGTAGATCACGTGTTTTACAGCACGTAAAAAATGACCGGTCGAAAATAGATACCAAGAAAAACAGTGTTATTAGCGTAGTAAGTGGAGCGCCCCGTCCATATTCTTGCAAATCGATAGGTTGGGAGCTAGAATTGGAGGTGATCCAAATGAACAAAACTAGTGTGTTTCCTAACCTTCTTGTGAACAATTTAACGGCAGCACTTTTATGGTGGAAACAACGTTATGGAAGCCTTAGTTAGCCCGACGTAAAGCACTTTCACACCACTAAAGGTTGGAGGCTGCCTCAAAAAGTAAAGTACGCGCAACCTGCTCAATTTGCATGTCTTGCCTGCTACTCCATGGTGTGTTGTGTCAGCCCTAAATTTAATAAAGACCTTTAGTTTGGTGCGTCTTATCCACCAGTACTTGAGACTGTGATGCTTTTTTGTGTACAAGCTGAAAATAAACAAAATAAGAATATTCATCTCTCTGCTTTAAGGCGGCCTTTTTTTTTTTCGAGTACACATGCAGTGAAAACCAGCTTTGTTCAAAAAATTGGCAGTCATGCAGATCCTATAGGAAATAAGGCAACACAACTAAAACTGTTTGCGTTAGGAGAATAGCTACGAACAAATATTTCTCAGTGCACTTCAGAATATCCGGGATATGTAAGTGGTCCTCCTTTGAAAAGTATGTAATCAGAAAAAAATTGGCCGATCCCACGTACAGTGGGCATCGACGAAATGTGAAGCACGAATAAGGGAGGTTTATATGTTATGCCGTATATTACTTCCATGTCGTGATTATCATGTTTGCGCCTGCCATTTGTGTTCAACGTCTATTCACGTCACGTAAAATCAAATTTAGCATATGTGAAGCTATAGTAAAACAGCCCCGAGCGCACTATGAGCATTGCATGCTTTACATGACACTCATATCATAATTATCATGTTTGGACGTATCCTTTATCTTCGTCGTCTATTCAAGTGACGTAATAACAAATTTGGTACACCAGAAGATAGCCAAATGGCCACGAGCGCGCTATAAGCCTAGCATGCAGTCATTTTTTGCATGACACGCGTATAATGATTATCATGTTTGGACGCGTCATTTACCTTCGTCGTCCATTCATGCCACGTAATACCACATTTGGTGTATGTGAAGCTAGCGAAACGGCCGCGAGCGCATCATGAGCGTAGCTTGTAGTCATCTTCTTACATGATTGATTGATTGATTGATTGATTGATTGATTGATTGATATGTGGGTTTTTAACGTCCCAAAACCACCGTATGATTGTGAGAGACGCCGTAGTGGAGGGCTCCGGAAATTTCGACCACCTGGGGTTCTCTAACGTGCACGCACATCTGAGCACACGGGCGTACAACATTTCCGCCTCCATCGGAAATGCAGCCGCCGCAGCCGGGATTTGTTCCAGCGACCTGCGGGTCAGCAGCCGAGTACCTTAGCCACTAGACCACCACGACGGGGCCATGTTCTTGCATGAGACGCATGTCATGATTATCATGTTTGCACCAGTCATATACCTTCGCCATTGATTCATGTCACCGAACACGAAGACTGATCTGTGAAGGCCTTATTGAACTTTTTGCGCCGTAGTGGCCTATTGTATAGGCTATAACACCACAGCTTACCTTTTTTTCGCGGGTCTATATCGCTTTTCGCTTTCTTTCCTATCTTTCTTCCCCATTACCCCTTCCCTTAGTGCAAGGTAGCAAACCGGATGCTCCACTTTCTAATAAACCTCCCTGCCTTTCGCTCATTTTCTTCTCTCCCTCTTTCACCTAAAACAAAATTTGGTACATGTGAAGCTACCGACACGGCCGCCAGCACGTTATGAGCGTAGAAGGTTGTCATGTTTTACATGACACGCATATCATGATTTTCATGTTTGGACGTGTCTATATATAGACATGTCATTTACCTTCGTCGTCCACTAACGCCACGCAATAGCAAATTTGGTATATGTGAAGCCAGCAAAGCGACGACAAGTGCATCATGAGCGTGGCGTGTAGTCATCACTTACTTGACATGCATGTCATGATTTTCAAGTTAGGTTCAGTCACTTATGTTCGCTATGGAATCATGTCATACCATACCAGTTTTGCAGTATGTCATGCAAAGGAAACCACGGCCAGACCAGCAAGACCATGACATGAAAATAATGACATTCTTGACATACATGTCTTGATCCTCGTGATATGACTAATCACTTACGCTCGTCATACCGTCACGTTATGCCATGCCAATTTTGGCAAAGATCCAATTATTGAAGCGACCAGGAGGGCTAAAAGAAGTAAGCGGCTAGATAGACAGATAGATACGGTCAAAATCGCCGAAGATCGCTGAAAAATGCTTCGCATTTAAAAGAATGTTCACCGACGAATACTATGCTGGCTAATGTAAATTCAGCACACAGATTTGTTTTGGAATCAGTCCAACTGTGTCGCAATTGTTGGCATTCCCCGGGGTATTTACTACGCTACAAATCATAATTTTTGTGAAGCAGGACAGCACGAACTACTGCTCTATTTTATGGATAAGCAGAGTACCCACTACAGATCTTTCAAGTGTTGTGTGCATTTTGTAGATGCTTCGTGCACTACTGACGATGACGAATTATGGCTTAGCAAAGTGAAGTAGTGGCAAGCATTAAACTGCACGCTCATTACCAACTTAACATATTATAATCTCGTAGTTATTTAACGCTTCAGCCACGCCATACTACACAGCTAATGTGAGTTCCTGCCCGACATTACGACAGTATAGCATCTCTCCGGCAAATGAGTTTCAAGAACCAGCGTGTTCTTCCCGCAGAATACTCGACTGACCCGCAGATAGTTCGGGCTTGAATACCAGTCAATCCTAGGGTATTTTAGATGCAAAGCAGCTTATGGCAGGGGCTATGTCCGTCTGTCCCTTACTCCTTTCCGCGGCGTCCACCCACATTGCGCATGCGCGTCTCCACCTCTCTCTTATTTCTCATGCTCCCTCCTCTATTTTTCCTAGTGACTCTCTACTCGAAAAGCGGCGCGCACTAGCGGTGGTGTGACAGCTGGATATAGGAAGCCAAAGCAACGCATGGTGGCGCTGCGACTCCGGACAGGCAGCGCCATCTTTAGTAGAAAAGTAGAAATCGGGGATGTAGGTTGCGCGTTTTCCCTTCGCTCCAATGTGCTGCCGCTCCCTTACGTGCTCATGCAGAGAGCGCGCGATGCGTTTGAGTCACCTCCCAATGTGCCACCAGCAGTGTGGCTTCACAATTATCTCTGACCTGGACAAGCTCCAAGAAGCTAATCAAACCAAAGGAGTAAACGTAGTTAGTCAAGTTTATGATGTGGAGCCACTGCTGTCAAGTTTATGATGAGGAGTCACTGCGAAATGCATTTCTCGGGTCCGTGCCAAGGCAGCTCCGAGGTAAAAAATGATGAAGCCTGAATGCATTATTCTGTCCTGTGGATGGATGGATGAATTGATGTGGCTGTACCCTTTAGATAGGGCGGCGGCTAACGCCACCTAGCCGTAATACTTAGTGAACACACTACTAGATTTATCTTTTTTTTCCTTTAAATAGTGAAATTGAGGACAGGTATTTTGCAGTGAAGGGTTTAAATTTCCCTCGCGCCTTGATTTTAGCCACCAATAAGATAACCTCGTTCTAGTTATTTCTACCCACTCAAAGTAAATTTTGCCCTCCCTGTCCCTAGACCCCAGTGCTTTGAAAAACTCTGCGCCATCATCCTGAACTATAGGGTGAAGGCCTTTACAGAACATTATCAAGTGATCGGCAGTTTCCTCCACCTCTTCACATGCACTGCATACCGTGCCTACCCCTTCGTATTTGGTCCGATATGTATTGGTTCGCAATACTCCCGTCCTGGCCTCAAACAGTAGAGAACTACCCCGAGTATTATCATAGATCATTTTCTTGGCAATTTAGATCACTAGTGCGCACTCCTTAATCATGCCAATTCTCCACATATGAGTCTCCGTTTCCTTCACCTTCTTCTTAACCGATAGTTCTGTTTGGTTTGGCCCCCTGCTGTTTTTTATGTATTTACCCGTCATTTTTCTGGTTCACTTCTTCCATTTTGTAGCGACATTCTTCTTATGTACAAGTAGCTGAATATCTTCCTAGCCCAACGCTCCTCCCCCGTTTCTCTCAATCGCTTCTCAAATTTTATCTTGCTGCTAGCTTTCTACCCTCAAATGATGTCCATCCCATATCACCTTGTACTACCTGATTTGGTGTATTCCCGTGAGCTCCTAAAGCAAGCCTACCTATTCCACGTTTTAACTTCTAATCTCGCTTGAAATTCTGATCTCATGGACAAGACCACATTGCCGAACGTCAGACCAGGAACCATGACCCCTTTCCATATTCCACTCACAACATCATACCTATTGTAATTCCACAGTGCCCTATTTTTCATCACAGCTGCGCAACGCCGCGATGAGTGCCACCTCAATGCCGCCGCCAGCGTTAGTGTGAGCGCCAGCACAAGCTCTCAATAAAGTACGCCTTCTCCTGCTCAAGCGAACCATACCCCGCTGCTTCGCCTTTGCACATGATTTACTTTAGCAGGGGTTGGTGTAATTTTTCTTCTCATTTCATTTTTTGTCTGTTTGTTATCGGACTACGCTGAGCAACGGAACGCGAGCCAGAGAGCTGCGCTTTGGAATACAACACTGAACACTTGTTCGTGTTTGGTCACCTGAGAACATAGTAATAATGCAAAAAAAATCATATGATTGGTGGGGCGAAGCGTTCATCTGTCCGTCCATGCTTCCATCCGTCCATTCGTTCTTGCTTCCGTCCATCCATTCGTATGACCATACATTCGTGTGTCCGTCCATGCATCTGTCCGTACATCCGTTCATCCGTCTGTTCATTCGTTCGCTCATCTATATATCTGTCCATTCACCCGTGCGTCTGTTCGTGTGGCCGCACCTCTCTCTCCGTCCGTCCGTCCGTGCGTCTGCCCCTTTGTATGTCTGTTCGTCCGTGCGTCCATCAGTCCATCCGTCCATTCGTCTATCTAGTGAACACTCCTAGTACCGCTATCTCACATCTTTTCATCATCTATTCATCATATACAAGTGCCGCCATCCAGCGGACATTCTAAGGACCACTCTTCCGGGTATATGCCACCGGTGGTTACGCACTACAACAAGGGACGCACAAGCCACGCTATAAGAAGCTTCGCTCCTAAAGATTAGGAATGTAGCACTAAGGACTCAGCCACGCAAGCCTAAAAACCATGAACCTTAACAAACTTGAATGCTAATCTGTTTGCTTCTAGTTTGCTTCCAGTTGTTTGCTTGGTGCTGAGATTTCTTTTATGTTGGTTGTATGTCATTGGCTAGGTTGCTTCACAATGTGCCTGGTTGCTTTCACCGGGAACTAGGGTGCTTTAACTGTGATTTTTAGAGTAGAGAGGTATGAGCCCACAGCCTTAATAAAGAAAAAGAACAATGGTGCCCCCCCCCCCCTCCTCCACTACCGGATAGATGGAGTCCTGATAATACCAGTGTGCATTCCAGGCAGCACGCCGGCATTGGACCAAGCTAGGCCTAAGGTAGGAAAACACTGACAGAAATATTGGTCCTACGTTCGCTTTTGGTGCTTCGCTATCCTTAACTGTGCATTTGTTCGGTATTGAAAACCAATGTTGCCCAATATTTGCATAGATGGCTGCATGCAGACTCCGAGCACTAGCGCCGTCATTGTTTCATAAATGAGTTTAAGATGACTAATACAGAAAAATGTTGAGAGGGTGACGCGCTATAGCGTTCCATGGTTCCGCTGCTGTAGACTAATAGCCCCCGATATTTTGTTTTTCCATGCGCACTTGCATGGTGCACAAGTGCTGCTTTGTCTGTTGTTGCATCGTAACAAATCGCTGTTGAAATAATTTATTGATCACACTGACAAGGGGAACCTTGCTTTTAGGTTTTTTATGTTTTTTGGTGCTGAATTTCAATGCACGCACTTGTTTTTACTATCTACTCTACTAGAATCTACCAATACCGCTGCTACTCCACGTTCGTAGCTCCCATACGAGACTAATTTATGTCATAACATGGAGGTTCTTACGTACATCTGGCCATTTTTGATGTCCTGATAAAACATTTTGTGCCTCCTTTACTGTGACTGAGAATGTTTTGTTGATTTGCACTTACATCCGCAAAATTAGAGTTAGCGCTCGTGCATCATTATGCGTCTTGTAATGTCACTCACCTCATGTTCACTTTGCCATGGGGTGAAGTTTTGCCATGAAGTGAAGTTAACGAAAGGTGAAGTTGACTTCACTTTTCGTTGCACTACTAAAGGTGGCCTCGGAATCCACGTGAAAAAATCTCGTGGTGGAAATCAGCTCCGCGAGCTGTTGCAACGGCGCCATACCCTTAAAAAAGCTGCCTGTTCTTTTAGCGAGCTTAGTGAAAGCAAGTTCATTAATTATTGTTATGATTTCAGTGGACTCAAACGTACTGAACGTTATGTTAGATACCTATAACGTCGAAGTATACCTTCTATTGATTAAAATAACCCTCAATATTCAACGCGTTTTTTGTTTTTGAAATCCTTTTCCCCCTTTGCGGGCACCAAAAGTAAGCGCTGGAGTGGAAAAACTAGGAAAGTAACCATAGTGTCACTTGTTTCTCGGGGAATCAAAACAACAGGCTATTCGCCTTCACGGGCTAACGTTTTCAAGTTTAAACGAAGATTTGATAACGAGCAAAGTTAAAACAAAACACTGGTGGCACCCAGATGATTGTGCTGACGGGTAAACGTGAGAGCGTTTCTGAGACGCTTTGCATCACTGGCAACACTTGAAGACATCGTAAGCGTGGCAAACTGAAGCTGCTGTGGCTTAATACAATACATTACGCAGTAGACAGAGCGCATCCATTGGCCTAGCCATTCATCATAGTCGCGCCTGTTTTAATGGTCGCTAGATGCAACATAGTGCAATCGTTAGGACTCACGTGTATGGACCGATAGCAGTAGTGCGGGGTGGATGATCGAATGCCGAAAAGGCTTGAGTGTGGTCACATTGAATTGTCAGGCATCACTCGGCAAACTACGAGAATATGACCGGCTTCATCTCTCATATGTCTCCCAGCCATCGTGGTCGCTATACTATGGAGGTGAAACGCTAGATTACGGTGCACTTCGGTTTAGCAGCGCGCAAAAAAAAAAAAAGCCCAGACCATGAAAATTTCAATATGTCTTCACTACACCATAGATCTGGTACGTTGAGGTAAAACATGCAGTTATGATTATTTGTGCTCTCACAGCCGTGTGCCTCCTTTCACACGGCGAAAGAGAGTGCTTCCGTTCCCTCTTAGGTTGAACAGTGCTTCCCGGCTACTCTCTGAGGCTTTCGCTCGCATGTGTTATCGATTACCGAGTGCAAGTAAGCCTTAGGCGTAATGCAAGGAAGCAGTTCTACTGACAAGGATTGGGAAACATTAATTATTTCAAAGAATGTGGGAACGTAGTGTGATGCCGAGTGGGATCCCACTAAATATCGTTATGGCAATTAGAAACCTTTCTTCACAGGACTTAGCTAATCAAAATCTTCCTCATATATAACGTCGAACACGACCTCCCCGCTCAGACCCGCCTTGCATGGCTAGTGCAACTTGGCCATACTTTATTGAAGTGTTTTTATACTACGATTAATCCACTTTGTGGGCTTTTTTTAATTTATAACTCCTTCTTTTAGGTATGTACCAATAGAAGTAAGAAATCTGAGCAACAATTTCTATCTGGAAGTGAACCAAACACGTAAGATTCAATCGCCCATTTTTCTTATAGACACTTTTTTCTTTCAAACATTTTGATGCATTGATTTCGCACAGAACAAGAATTGCGTGCATCTGTGGCATGATCACACTAAGCAACTCGGTAGCGAAGGAAGCGCCGAATAAGTAGCAGCTAATCTGCGGCTCATAGGCACGGGCCACATGCGTCCCACTGACCTCTCTCTAGCGGCTCGCGGCCCATGGCACATATGAATCTCTTCATCCGATATCCATTTTTAATTATGGTCATAAGCTAAGCATGGCCAGTCGTAAACGTTTCTTTGTGAGACGCCTCCTGTGGCCAGCATTATCAATACACAATCGTCAAAGAAATCTCCACATCGGCGTTGAGATTTGGTAGTTTTAAAAATTGAGATTTGGTATCGATATATTGTTGGAATCCTGGCGCCAAAAGAACACCTGGTTTCAGCTTGAGGCCATGAGTAGGAGTCTGGACATTCGTGCAAAGTAAATGTGGTTGGCTGTGGCTTGTATCTAACCTCTCTGTGCTAAGCAACGGTCTATTCGGTTGCACGAGAAGCACGCTCACGGCCTAAAGTGGTTCGAGAGTGAATACACGAAGCCACTGGCCATGGTGAGATGCGGTTGTGTCGTACCAGCTCAAAGACTGTCCTGTGAGGGAAGGTGCTGCCGTTAAGTACGTCAAACGGCTTCGCCTGCACGTCTAGCCTTGCTCCACATTCTCATGAAAACTTATAGTTACAGCACAGCAAAACTAACTTCCAACACAACATATCTAGTTACATGAAGAACACTTGCAACAAGTAGTCACACCATAGCAGGAACTGCATTACGCTAAATTTTTGAAGATCGACTAATTTGTCGTTACCAGATGTGGGCGATATAGTGCTATCTTCCGGTTTATGTTCGAATCCTTCAACGTGTAGACGTGGCAGGGAAAATGCAAGGCATGTTGTAAGTCGTTTCAGGCACAAATATGTAATAGTTCGTTTAAAATAACAAGCACTTAGTCGCGCATTCAGGTCATGCCAAAGTAAGGGCAACACAGGATGAATACCTTTACTCTGAAAGTGCGCACACGAGCCGCTACCCGTTCGGCGCCTCCTTCATTCTGTACTTTCTTAGTGTGAGCGTGCCCCAAATACAAGCAATGTAGATGCATTGTTGTGCACTAAACTTACATTCACCAAGGTAAAAAAGTAAGTAAACAAGCATTGACGTTTCAAGCCCCGTACGGGTCCTTTGATCACAATGAAGATGCCAGCATGGACATGCGGCTATTTATAGGTCAGGTGGCACAGCGTGTGGGTGTATGTCTCTCATAGATTGCCGTTTGTACTGCTTATCGTGCGGTTAGGCGACTTAATGCAAAATGATTCTAAAAGAAGACGGACAGATAAATGTCTTTCCGTTGCAATGATTTCTGCTGCGTCCCACTCAATACGGTGGTCAGTTTCACTGTGTTGTTCCGCCAAGGCATTCGCAGTTGTGTGGCCCTTGGCGACGTCATTTTGGTGTTGTTTCAAACGCCGTTTGTACTTCCCACTCGTGCCGATGTACGACACGTCACATCCTCCGCACGGTATTCTGTAGATAACTCCCGGGAAATCCGTGCGCTTGAAAGTATCCTTTGCGTGTACAAGCTGTTGTCGGAGGTTTCGAGTAGGCGCGAGGGCTATTTTAAAACCACAGCCTTTAAAAATTCTTGCGAGTGCCTCGCTTGTTCCCGCTGCGTAAGGAATCGCTGCGCGCTTCGCCCTTCAACGCAGGGGCGATGTAAACAAACCTACGTCATGAGTTTATGTGGGCTAGTAGCTGGCCCGAGCCTTGCGCTTGCGCTGCCTTTGATTCCCTCATCCATGCATGCGGCTTCACGTGTGCTGGCTGCGCTGTGACGTGGGCGCCGTGCGCTTACGCATACTTCTGGCTGCTACGCACACGTCCCTGTTTTGCGTGGTCACGTGGCCAGGTGGGATAACCGTGCCCTTGGAACTGCTCCAAACCTAGCTCTGGGCTCTTTGAAACCTAAACTGAGACGGGACGCTCTAAAAACGTCTCCAAATAAATTTTTACGCACTCACGCAAACAAAGTTTGCAGCCATGATAAGTATAGTCATAAGCTACGTACTGCAGCAAAAAAAGATGCAAAAGATTTGCGTCAGTACCTTATTATAGCGAAGGAGTGGAAGCGGCCGTGAATTTCAACTTTCATAACTTCTCGAACACATTTTGAAAAGAACTAGAGGAACCGATTTTCGCTTAGTTGTGCATTTCGTGGTATGCACTGTGGTCACTGGTTTTTATTGCTTTCTATAACATATTGCACGAGAAAATAGCTTATGTGCATGCGCTTGTTTGCCCCTTTTTCTTACACGGAAAATAGTCCTTGGAAATTGTTCCGTGCAAAGTTTTGTCTGTATAAATAATAATTTTGAAGGAATCGCTGTGCTTTCGAGTGTGCCTGGGCGACACAGCCTAACCAAGAGCCTGCTAAGCATTTTGCTATGACTCCGGATATATTTTGCGATACTTTGTCTTAATAAAAGGTGACCGCAACGAAATGAAAGAGAATGGTGGCAAGGTGACACTGCCGTGGCCTTCCGAGGCGTCTTAAAATAGCAAAGAATAATATAGTAACCATCAATGTAGCCCACTTCAGTGGTGTGCGGGCAGCGTTAGCCATTAGGGCACGCCTGCTTAAGTTTACGAACGCGCGGCACTTAAACCGCTACAATGGCTATGGGTAATCAGCGCATCCTTGTGGCCGTCTACTGGAACACTGCTGCTGTACCTCTCAGCGGTGCTTCGGTATCGGTTTATTAAGCACATTTTGTTGCAATTCATAAGCCTGCAATCACTAGTGATGCCCACCTTTTCACAATCTGAAAGCATTGGTGAAATAGACTTTCATGACTTTCATTCTCTTTTTGGTCAGCCTGCTTAATTTTTATTCAATATGAAATTATTGTACTTCCTCTAAAGACATGTGAAATTATTGCCTATATGCTTCCGAAGATCGTTCGCAACAAAGAAACGAATGCTAGGAAGCTAACAGGCAAATATATCGTTTCATTTATCACCGTAAAGAGCTCGTTTGATAGAAATCACGGTGTAAGCGTCGATGACGGCATCGTCGTTTGTGAGCTAAAAAGCACTATCTTTCCGTAAACACACACACACACACACACACACACACACACACACACACACACACACACACACACACACACACACAAACGCGGCTGATCCTCCTATACAGAATCGGTATAACACGAAATGAAACACGTCTCTACAGAGGTAGTTGAGCGCTTATTGTGCATTGTTTCAGCAATGGCAACAATTTGCAATGCCACGTTAAGAACGTCAAGCAGCTCAAAACTTGCAGTGCATACCTCAGCCTGAAAGCACGCACGAAATTAGCAAACACAGGACGAGCGTAATCTAACAACTGCCACAGCTCGACTCTTACAGCACGCTGTTCAGACACAAAGACAAACGAAACGAGCACAGAAGTATACACAGGACAAGCGCAAACAACTGTCACAATTGTTCCAGCGTCGTGTGTCAGCAGCGTCCTCCTTTGGTAAACGCGGCCGCGGCAGCGTTCGAAGTGACCTTCGTCCCATCCCGAATAATATTACTTTAACTCAGAGAATAACGCTACATAATTGTGATATCGTGGAATGAGTCTCCTTAACACATGTAATATTGCATGGAAGAAATGTAGAAAAACGTCAGGCGTCAAAGCATGAGTATCGTGCGACGAGTCAGTGTTTTAAAGGCACACTTATTACAAAGCGCTCTCTCACATTTAAACGGCAGCTGCAACGAAAGCATCAAGAAAGTGAATAGTGGGGTAGGTTCGCGAGTCGCCTTAGCATCGTATAGTGGAATTTCATTGTTTCGCTAAAGAAATAATTATGGCGCAGTGGGCACTTAACTGCACTTGGAGCAGACATTGTAGGGTAGTTCGAAACGGTGAGTCCTAGCGCACGGATTTCATTTTGTTTCTGGCATGGTTGAGGCCATGAAGGAAGCCACGCTGCGAAGTGAGATGGCGATGCGCATGAGACCGATTACGCTTGAGGGCTGTATTCTTGAAGGCGAAGCTTGAGTGCCCCCAGACTTTTTGTGAGAATATACCGACAAATTCTCTAAAATACTTGGTATTGTATTATACATAAATTCTCTAAAACCCTTGGTATTGTACTATACATAAATTATATTGTGCAATATTATGCTATATTATAAATTAGATACGAATGGTCACAAACTTATGCCCTCAAACAAGGTAATGGTAAGGTTTTATGCTTTTTGTTTGAAGGTCAACTACAACTACAGAGATTTTGCTCTACACATATGAAATAGTTTCCATGAGTACTGTGCAGTACTAATTCTTACTATTCCATGTACGCAGAACTTCAAAAGTAACAGAAATCATCGCTTGCTGTTTCAGCTATTCTGAAGGGACTTTTCCGCTTACGGAAGAAGTACCTCATATGGGATTTCGACAACAATTCATTAGTTTTGTCAGAACGTATACAGAGCATCCGAAGTGAGTGAACTGCTTTAAGGTTGTATGATGATCGAGTTGAATGATGTTTATGCTGTATTTTTTTGCAGAGCTCATGTGCACAACGAACGATAAAAGAAGCATACGAGATATGCGCTGACTTTAAACTGAAGTTTATGTCCGAACGGGTGTAGAAACAATAGGACACCAGGTCATAATAATTTGCAGATTGGGCCGCAATATTAGCACACTCTACATTAAGATTGTGGGCTGCTGACACGTAAAACGACAATCAGTGAGATGCAAAACATGCATCGAGAAGTTTGCTTTGTCGCACTTTTAAAATGAGCATAACGTTACGAGGCGGACAGATATAGCACTTAGTAGACATAAGGAGAAATTTTACGGACCCACGTATCTAAAAACATGCAAATGTGCGATGTGATTATGCATAGCTGCGTAAAAGTGACAATAACGTGCACGCTACAAGCACCACCCACAGTAGGCTGAATTGTTCTTGTGTTAGCCTGTGATAGTGCTTACGCACACGCTCACTCTGAATAGGCATCCAATGACACATCGTAAAATTCGTAAACGCTGTAAACTTCGTGTATATCGACGTCAAATAATCTCGATTCCAGGAGATTGGCGGATATTTTGAGAGTGTGTCCTGCACCATGGGTCATCATAGGTGATTTCAATGCGCATTATTACGCATGGGGAAGTACGCAGACAAATGCAAGAGGACGCAGGTTAGCAAACATCACCTACAACTATGGCCTAATTCTCCTAAACGATGGTAGCCCCACTTTTCTTCGAGAGATGACATGCGGCAGCTGTCTCGACTTTGCTTTTGTCTCGAACTCCCTCGCGAGATACGTCAATCGGTTTCCAGATGTTGAGACACGAGGAAGTGATCACATTTCAATCTACCTTAACATCAAAGACTTGTCTAGCTGTGGTCCATGGACCACCATTCGAGCAGTCCAATGGACCAACTTCAAATATGACATGAAAGATGCATGCAGCGAAGGCCTATGATATGGGTTAGAGCAAACAATGAAGAGCACAATGCAAAACGCCACTCGCATTGTGACAATATCTTCCACACGAAACGACTTTGACATAGAGTTGGAGCGACTCCGAGCCCTTCGACGCCGGGCGGAGCGTCGGTATCGGCGTGCGAAATCAATTCACGATCTCAGGGCAGCCAGGAAGATGCAAAAGAAGATTCGGCGTCGCATGAATAGATTAGCATCGGAACGATGGACAACGTTTTGCCCGTCACTAGACCCTCGCAAGCCACTGTCACACATTTGGAAAGCAGTGCAAGGTCTGCGTCATCCTACGGAACAGCGTTTTCCATTCAAAGCGCTCGTGCTATTTCAAGGGAGGCAAGACATCGACGTCGCAGATTTCTGCGCGCAGATCGCCAACCAAGCCACTCGTCCAGATTCTCCAGTGAGAGGTGGTGACGTCCCCCGTTCCCGTGACTACCACATGGACCTCCCTCTAACAATGGAGGAGCTTGAGGCGGCACTAGCTTTCTGCGGGCGTTCAACTTCTCTAGGCCAAGACGGTATTCCGTACCGAGCCTTGTGCAACCTTGGGGAAGGTGCAAGGAGAGAACTGTTGAGCCTTTACAACAACTCGTGGCAGGATGGCAATGTTCCTGACGACTGCAAAGTAAGCCACTTGTTACCCATCTTGAAGCAGGGCCAATTCCCACTCGAACTCGCCTCATACCGCCCAATAGCACTGGCCAGCTGCGTAGGGAAGATTATGAAACGAATGATACTAAGCCGCCTGGAGTGCTATCTTGAATACTACAAGATTTATCCGAATTACATAGTTGATTTGCGACGCAAACGCTCTTCCATTGACAACGTCGTTGATCTAGTTTCGTACGTTCAGGACGAAAGATCCTGTAAACGACTATCTACAGCTTTGTTTCTAGATGTGAAAGGCGCGTACGATAATGTACTACATGAAGCCATTTCGGGCGCTCTTGCAGTGGTAGGCCTTGGTGGCCGAGTCTCTCGGTAGATTTCGAGTTACCTGGCTGCAAGATCATTCTTTGTGTTAACAGAAGATGGCCCAACTACGCGACGCTATAATTCGAAGGGTGTTCCTCAAGGCGGAGTTCTTTGCCCGACACTATTCAATCTTGCACTGAATAGCCTTGCTGAATACTTGCAAAGTGCCATTAAAATCTCAATATACGCAGACGACATCTGTGTCTGGACTTCTGCAGTCACGCGCCCTCAGATACGTTCCCGGCTTCAAAGAGTAGCAACTATGATTGTGAACTACTTGTTTAAACAAGGTCTCAGCATATCACCAAAAAATGTGCCCTGGTGGCCTTCACTCGCAAAGCAATGACCCCTTATGTCATCTCAATCTGCGGGCAATCGATTTCTTACGCCAGAACCCACTGGTTTCTGGACATCATTATTGATAGGGACATCTGTTGGAGTCCGCATGTGGCCTATGTGAAAAAGCGCTTGACCGCTATTTTCCAATTGTTCAAGTTTCTGGCAGAAAAGACGTGGGGGATGTCCGTAGGCGCAATGATGAAACTTTACACAGCCCTGTTTCTCGGTTTCTTGAGATATAGCTTGGCCGTGCTTAGCAATACCTACAAGATCAATGTTCGTGTTCTACAGGCAATACAAGCCCAAGCACTGAGAGTATGCCTTGGTCTGCCCAGATGTACGTCAACAGAGGCAACAAATGCAACTGCTGGTGACTATTCGATACAAACTCACAATGTTGTAGAAGTCCTGAGAACGCACATCAGACAGTTAGCACGTGCTCCCTGTCATCATCTTGCACTGTTGCCTTCAGAGAGGCGCCAAGCATCGTTCGCTAGAATGATTGTGAAGTACAACGAGAAACTTCCCTCGGGCTTCCCTCGGGCTTCACTCCTGCATCTAAACCATCGATACCCCCTTGGTGTCTTATTCGACCCACAGTGCATCTTATTGTACTAGGGACCCCGAGGAAATCTGAGCTTTCATCGCCCGTGCTAAAACAGCTGTCTGTTATTCTTTTGCACGAGAAATATTCAGACAGTGTACATATATATACCGATGGCTCCACGAACCGCCAGTGTTCATCAGGTGCTGTAGTTGTCCCAGGAAAAGGTGTTACCATCAGCTTCAGAACTGACCACTCCACGGCATCTACAGCAGCGAAACTAGGTGCTTTGCGCGCTGCACTTTGTATAGTCAATCGGGAACCAACGCAACAATGGTCGATTTTGAGCGACTTAAGGGCTGCCCTACAATCAGTGCTCTCAGAACGGCGTCACGGGCCGTACGAACAGCTTGTTTTCGAAATACCATGCCTTCTCCACATTTCACACGAGAAAGGGCATCATGTGACGTTTCAGTGGCTCCCAAGTCACTACGGCGTCATAGGGAACGAGCATGCCGATACTGCCGCGCGGGCACCTCTTGAAGGAACACGAGAAGAAGCCATACCACTTTCGCGGACAGATGCAGCCAGTAGTCTTCGACGACTTGCGCGTGAAGACACGTTTTCACTGTGGTTCTCACCAAGCATGGATACGAATCGTCAACACCACCTGTCCTCTTTGCTGGCCCTCCACATGCCCACTGGGCTCGACCAAGAAGCCAGCCTCCTTCATCGCTTATGGCTAGGAGTGGCATTTACAAAATCTTATTCCTTCGTCATAGGAATGGCTGACAACACTCTCTGCGATGCCTGTCATTGCGAAAAGACGCTACACCACATCCTGTGCGACTGTCTGTTGTATGACATCCAGAGACAGTCACTGGCATCTGTTCTTGTACGCGTCGACAACAGCCTAATGTCTGTGGACACTATTCTGTCAAGTGCCCGAGAGAAGACATTGCAACAGAAGGCGACAAAAGCTCTGTTCTACGCGACGCGGACTTGAACAAGCAGCTGTAACTGCGATGTCACACACCGCGAAAGACAAGACTGGACAATGACTGAGTGTGCGCGCGTGTGCTGCCGAATGTGCTGTGTTTATCTCTATTCCCTCTCTGCTCTCTATCTGTCATCTCCCCCATCCCCCTCCCATGCGCAGGGTAGCAAACCGGCTGCCTATAGGGTGGTTAACCTCCCTGGCATTCTTTTTCTCCTATTTTCCTTCCTTCCTTCGTAAACGTCGATACTAATATTTAGCACTGGCAGGAGGAACGCAGTTGTTACAAAATATTCGTCCCTTATTGCGGCAAGGAGGGGCCAATGTGCTACGAAGTAGGGCACGTAGTTAAGGCGTGATCAATGACACGTTAGTTCCCAGTGGTGGGTATGAAACCTTGGTAGGCCCTGTTTGCCTCGAAAACCTCTTTCTAGTACTGCGTTAACCAAGTACTTGGTTTTGAGACATTTACATGAAAAGCAATGATGAGTGGCGTAGTTTTGTCGGTAGAATTATTGCTAGAGGGGCCGTTCTAATCATGGCGTTGTCACTGAGGTACGTATGATAACCTTTTCGGGGAACTCTTTCCCGCTCTTGCACTTTTGTTTGGAGTTCTGAATGACACTTCGGAAGTAACAGTACAGGCTGCTAAGACTTACAAGTTTCCGTAAGTTAGTGTTCTCACAACATGTCTGACTCCTTCAAGCCAAATACTTGCGACGATGCTGCATGTCTCACTGTTCTCAATAATTTTACCTTAACCAGTGCTCAATGTGCCTTCTTGAAAAAAAAACACGCTTGTGAAAGTGCTATATACACTTTCTCTATCGCGCATGCTTTGTAGTATATCTTCATACCTAATAATACGGACAACAACAGTCCTATAGTCCATGGAGCATTAATGTTTTCAAATGATCGGGAATTCATACTATGGCTACTTTTTATTGCACATATCCGCAAATCCTCCTTGGATTTATGTATTGTGCCTAAACATACACCAGGTTTTCAACACACTATCAATAATATTTAAAGGAATTCTCGCAACACATCAACTCACATAAATTGCCAGCTCTTTATTATATTATTCCTCTTCTCAGGTGCAAATATGTCTCATTTGCCTACACTCTGCAGTATTTTAAGAATGTCTTATGTTGTCTGAATATATCATTGACCAGACGCTTATTTTATGCAGATTTAACCCCGCCATGTTCTTTATGGGTGACAAGAGATCATATAAATTTAACGACTGTGCCAAGTCGGGCAAACTACACATTTTTCACGTTTTGTTCTAACCCTATGTTCATTGGGTACAATGATTCCTGCTTTGGAGTAAATGAAAATAATAAAATCACTTGCAAAAGTTTGAGCATTACTACTGTGTCATGTTTTATTTAGAACTGTACCCTGTTAAAATCAGTGGTACTCAATAATCTTATATATCACTTTGGTTAGGAACCTCTTCTGAGCCTCGGTAACTTCAGTTTGCGAGTTCAGATAACTCTTGAAGTGAACCCCAAGACCACCTCGAGACCAGCTGGTGCCCTAAGATAAGTGCAATAAAAGTTTAAAGTACTGATTTATAGACACATTTTGAATTGAATTTATTTGAATGCTTATAGGATGGTTATCACCCACGCGTAATCTTGCGCCCAGTCAACAAAATGGCCCATCCATGGTAAAACTAGGGTGAGAGCCTTGAATAAATGAGGGCCTTGTATGCCTGATTAAGCTCAAAAACTAACTGTCACCATTGGCATAAGGGGGACTGTGTACGATCTATACACTGACTCAAAAGAAAGTTAAGATGGCTGTCCCCGTTGAGTCTTTGTTGGTGGATGCATACGGGGCCCCGTGAGTTTTTGATCCGTTTTATTTGGCGATTAACCTTAAGCGCAGACCTCAGGAAACCACTCATGGTTTGTGGATACTATTCTCGGTGATAACAGAACGCGCACCACTTGTTGCCACTCGGACAAAAATGTCATTTGACTGCTAATTGAGTTCACTCGATTCAAGTACTACCCCAGTTCAAACCATTCTGCAGAATGTTTTAAGGTGCTATGAACAGGCACGTCCTCCATGCCGTTTAGGTGATTTCAGAAAGAATGCGTTCCACCAGGCTGTAGCGGTGTCATTATGATGAATGAAAAATGCTGGAGGCCCGTACCTTAACCAGCGGGATGGGGGCGCTGGGTAAAAGACCCAGGTCGATAGTATACAGAATCATTACCTACGGGCAGGTGTCCAGATGGCGTAGGCTATCGACATGGTTTGTGTGGATGCGCCTGAGCATGGTGCATCAAAGATTGGCGTTTATTCAGGAGGAGGAGGAGGAAAAAACCTTTATTGATGCTGGCTGTGCCAGATAGCCCTTATCCCCACCGGGCCGGTTGACATCCCTAGTCCGGGACGTCATTAGTCGAGGCCACCACCCGATCCCGCTGGACTAGAGTTCGCTGTTTCTCTAGTGTGGAGCTATTGAGTAGGGTCGTCTCCCAGTCCTCTTTGGTGGGGTTGGGAAAGGGGGTTAATTTTGAGTTCATTTGGCAGGCCCAGACCATATGGTAAGAGTTGGCCACTTCCCCACAGTACTGGCACTGCCCACTTATTTTAGGGTCATAATATTTTAGTATGGCTGGACAGAGCAGCGTATTTGTCTGTAGGCGCCGTAGGATGCGCTCCTCCGTTTTCGACAGTCCCTTCGCTGGTGCGGGATACAAGCGGCGTTGCTCAATGTAGTATTCTTTGATTTCTCGAAACCGTGTTAAAGGTGTAGGACGTTCAGGTCTGTCAGGGGAACGGGGAGTTTCCCGGGAAGTAAGCACGCGGGCCGCTGCATGTGCAGCCTCGTTACCCTGTAGACCCTGATGTCCCGGAGTCCATATAAGACGTTTTGGGGTAGGATCGCGGTTCCTGATTCTGAATTTTAAAAGTCTATTAGCCAATGGAGAGATTTCTCCTGCAAGATAGCTCTCGCAGGCTCTTCGAGAGTCTGTAACTATTTGTTTGGAGTTTGGATGGGATACTGCCAGTGCAATGGCCACCTCCTCCACCTTACTTGAGCTTGTGGCTTTGAAAGTGAGGCCGTCCACCTGCGTTCCTTGATGTATTACCGCCGTCGTGTAGTATCCTCTAGGTGACGGCCCGGCCACATCGACGTAATAGACCCCATTACTGGAGCCAAGCCGTTGTTCAAGTGCCTCAGCGCGCGCTTGCCTTCTACCCTGGTGCGCCTCCCTGGTCATATTGCGGGGAAGCGGGGACACCCAGAGTTTTGTTCTCCAAAGTTCAGTTATACGCTCCGCGTTTTCGATTTCGCATTCGTGCCGGATCAAGAGGCGGTCCAGTAGGCGCCACCCGGGGGGCGTCTGCGTAAGACGCGTATATTGATTTGTGAGGTGGGCTTCTTGGAGCTCTTGTATAGAGTTAAGGACTCCCAATGCAGAGAGTTTCTGATTTGAAGTGCTGATGGGTAAATCAAGTGCGTGCTTAATTACTTTCCTAAGAATAGCATCGACTCTGTTTTCTTCGTGTTTAGTCATTCGTAAGTACGGTATTATTCCGGAAGGCGGTGGTTTTATACATGGTAGACAGGGGGCGGCTGCCGGCCGACTAACCATGATTGTGTGCATGATTGCGCATAACATCACACCACGGTTTATGTGTGGGCGCTACGCCTCTCGTTCAGCTATTTCTTTTTCGCCTGACAAAGGCGACCTGAGGGAAGCAATAGGCTTCATCGGACTAACTGCACTTGCTGCCAGATTAACTCCACAAACACCATCTTCAAGATTGTTGTATTGGTAACATTTCCCATCGATTAACATAGCTTCTATTACGTGAATTTCAATAGTTTTTAGAGGTTTCGTCGATGTCATGGAAGTTATTTCGAAAATTGCGGTTGTTAGGGTAATAACGAGAACATACAATATCTCCAGGTAAATAGTAGGCGATGTTAATACAAGTAGTTGTAATGTAAATGGAAATAAAGTAAAGTGAACGAAAAGACAACTTGCTACCGCCATGTTCCCAACCTGCGACTAGGCGTCCGCTGCTCTCTATGTATACCACTGAACTACGGTGGCGGTCCATCAAACCATTCACTAACAAAAAAAAATGAGCCCTTAATACACTTTCCCTCATTCCTATAGCGACGGCCTCGTTCCGGCAGACTTGCTGCCTTGAGGAGCTATGCGAGGGACCATTGGTCAGGTGCCGTCTCGTAATGAGAACACGTCCTACGTGTGTGTTCCACACTCGCCGTAATTGCAACAGGTGGCGCTGACTTGCTGCACCCACGTTTAAATACACCTATATACACTAGAAAGGGAACAGGGGGATGATCGCCACCGTAGCTCAGTGGTTAAGCAGTGGTACGAAGGTCGCGGGCTCGGATCCTGGCGGCGGAAAGGTATCTTTTGGTTCACTTTTGTTTCTTGACATTTACATTACAGTTACTTATATTGGTAGCCCCTATACTTTCCTTGGAATTATTGTCTGTTCTCATTATAACTGTGTCTAACAAAAAAATGGCAGCATATCCACGAAGTGAATGATGGAGAGTGGGGTGAAGCATTCGTCCGTCCATTCGTTCTTGCTTCCGTCCGTCCGTGCGTCCGTCTGTGTGACCTTCCATGCGTCCATCCGCCCGTCCGTGCGTGCGTCTGTTCGTGCGTCCACCCCTGCGTCCGTCCATGCATCCGCCCCTACGTCCGTTCATGCGTCCATCCATGCATCTGTGTGTGTGTCCGTTCATCCATCTATTCAACACTCCAAACACCACCATCTCGCATCTTTTTATCATATATTCCCCATATAGAAGCACCGCCATTCAGCGGACATTCCAAAGACTAAACGAGAGGTGGCACACGCACACTTTCTTACGGCTTGCGCTTCGTATATACTTCCCACCTTTAACCACCTCGAGTTCATGGTATATACTAGTTCACTGTATTCATGGCACTGCGGCTCAACGCTCGCTAAACCTTTCTAAAACTAAGGAGGTTACACCCAGCGAGTATAACGTAGCAACCCTTTCTTGTCAGATAGTGCTCAATGTACATGCAAATGGCTGCTAATGGGGATCGCCGCATGCGGGTTAACTAAAAGCCAAATGCTCCTGTCTTTTCTTCCCCCTTAGCAGCCATTGGTATGTACATTGAGCACTATCATTTATTGTTCAACTACGCACAGAAGAAATCGATCACCGGCACCACCTTGGAGGTCCAAATTTTATACTTGTTGCACACTACAACAGCTACGAGGAACGAACAGGTGCCGCTATAAAAAGCTTCGCCCCTAAAAAAACTAGCATTTTAATTTACACTTCCCCTCGTTCATAGCGAGGGTCTCGTTCTGGCTGACTTGATGCATTGAGGTGGTGTGCAAGAAACTATTGGCCAGCTGCCATTTCTAAATAAGTTCACTTACTACGTTACGGCAAACAGTCAAAAAATAGTATTCCATGCTCGCCGTAATGATAGTAAGTGGCGCTCATTAACGCCATCCACGTTATATACATGAACGATGGAATGATCGCCCCCTCAGCTCAATTTACTTAAAAGAAAAGCCACCTTATTTCGGTCGTAGAGCATCGAACTCGTATTTCGAAGGTCACAGCTTTAGATCCGACCAGTGGCAAGCTATCTTTTCATGTACGTTTATTTGTTCACATTTACAATGCAATTTGTTCTAAAAACGTGCCCTACATTACATGGTATTAGTGTATGTTAGTTCTGACGAATAATGTGCCAAATAAAGAAAACGAGTTTTTAAATTTACATGGGTCTTTGGATAGAAATATTTCTCACTAACATTACTGCCCTTTACCATGTGTCTCTACGAAAGAATTTCCTCATTTACTTTCGTACTACAACGACTACTACTACTACTACTACTACTACTACTACTACTACTACTACTACTGCTACTACTACTACTACTACTACTACTACTACTAATATTAATAATAATAATAATAACACGCCTTTCTTGGTAGTAAAAATATAATTGAAGGGCAAAAAACCCAAAGTTTTTGAACATGCACCTAAATCTATGCCCGCCGACCTCTAGCATTTTGCGACCACTCAAAATGCATCTACCATTGCCGGTATTCGATGCGCAATTTCTGGGTCAGTAGTCACGCTCCATAACCAATATAACACTGACGTAACGAGCGTGAAAATCCAATGTTATTGTTTTTTTTTCTTTTTATACTGGGCTTTAGTCAGCATATTTCTTAAGGGGCACACTGGTTCTGGCATACGCGCAGTTGTTGCTAATCGGTGGACGTTCGGCACCTTTTTCTTTCTCTTCAGGACCTCAATGAAGTTCGTACTCACTCACTCAATTAGTAATTTCATTGCTGCCTGTGACTCAAGTACACGTTGAGCGTCTCACCTGGCTGTGTCCTTTCTAGTCGGTGTAATTTCATTTTCAACTTTTAACGCGATATTGTTAAGCCGCTTATTTCGCAGAAATTTTGGAGTTGGGGTAGATGGTTGTGAGCAAAAAATTCCCTTAGGCGAGGCCGAAAAATCGGTCATTGTGAAATTGGTCATCGGTCAAGTGGGCATTGGCTGTGAGCATTGAGGCCGTTCCGGTCTGAGTGGGAAACAAGCCCGGGTAGTTTGAGTGGCAAGTGGATTCAATACCACACAGCCACGCGTCTGCTTGTGAATACAGTGAGAATAACTTCCTCTGCTTGGAAGTGTAATGTAACTTTCATGCTTTACAAACACATGCTTCTTGTATGTGTAGATGCTTCACAATACAACATGAAATATTGCCGTAATAATGCGTGATAAAATCGTACATTGCCAATGGGCGTCAGAATATTTGATTATCAGAATGACTTCGTGGTTTAAAGCTGGTAGCCTAGTAAAAAAAAAGCGCTCACGTTACTGCGCCTATTTCCTTACGGCCACATAGTGAGTGCATAGCAACTTGGAAAAGATTTCGTGCACTGAGTGTTTAAAGTACATACAATGAGCCGGACATCAATTATCGCGTTCGACTTTCAAAGGCGAAGCTTAGAAGTCGCGAAATATTTTGCTCACAAATATCACTCGAATGTGCAAATACGTTGAACATAAATCGTGTTTGGTTGATTCTTATAAAATACAATCACGGATTGATGATGTCATATAATAAAGCAGTTTATATATTTCGGAATATTTCGTATAGCTCCCAGCGGAACATTGAACAAGAAAATATTTTTTTTCACCCGAACCACAATATTGACAATATTGAAGGCAAGCAGAATATGTCGGGTAAACAAAATAAGTCTCCATAATTGTTTACCGTGAACGTCGTCTAACAGTGGTTATTATAACCCTTTTGCATTCGAAAAACATGGTCTAAATTATTGTAAGTTTTTAAAACACAAATAAAAAGTATAAGTAATTGTTGCTAGATGCATTAACAATGCAGGTACCATTTTCTATAACAATTCGAGAAAAACAAGTATTCGTATCCAGTGGCCGTTTTATCAACCGACCAGTGCGTTCACGATGGCACTCATTGATGTATTTAGAGCACAAGGAAGCCTGACCTCTTCAGTATGAATCTGTAACCGCGTATTCTCTGAATGGCCCTGGCTTTCCGAACAATAGTATTAGTCGCTTCTGATACTGTCTTTGTCATTTCAGCCAGGCAAGCTTCCATTGTTAAGTGAACTGTCAGAAGCATTCCATTCTTGTAAATACCAAAATATATTTCTCTTCGTACTAAAAGTGGCAAGGCTACCAATTGTTACCGCATTATATTAAAATGTTTGCTTTCGATTCACATTGGATTCATCTTCTAATAGGGCGATGGGGAAACTTTAGCGTTGAAGTATTGAGACCCTGCTGATTTTTACTGCTTCCTATTTCAACCATGTTACCAACCATTTATTTATTGCTACAGCTTCTCTCATTCAAACTTTACCACGTATCGTGACAGCAGCGCGACGCAGAAATGCGTATTTTTTTTTCAAAATCTGCCCTCATTAAATAGTAAACCGTGGAACACTGATACACAAGAGCTTCAATTCCCGCGAATTAACTTATCTGCTTTTGATTTGGTTGCCAGGCAAAATGCTTTTGAACCATGTAAGTCCACCTTTTTATCGGGAGAAGGTGCGGCTACTTGGCTGGGCCTGCAGTTGTGCGCGGGTGGCACTTTGTGCCCAATATGCCATGTGCCAATGCACCTAGATTTAGATGTTCGATGTTCGCCTCAGCGGACGAGTGGCTAGGGTGCACATCTCGTCTGCTGGCCCGAAGGTCGTAGATTCGGTCATGGCCGTGGCGGTCACGTTTTCCATGAAGGCGTGATGGTAGAGGCCCGTGTACTGTGCAATGTCAATGCACGTTAAAGAACATCAGATGGTAGAACTTTCCGGAGGCCTCCAATACGGCGTCTCTCAAAAGCATATCGTGGTTTTGGTTTTAAGTCCCATATATGCATCTTAAAGGGCCCCTGGTGGCGGGAAGTTTCGGAGCCCTTCATCCTGGCGTACCTCATAACCATATCATGATTTTTGAGGGCGGAACTTCGAAAGTTATTATTTGTAGCCTTACATAAATAACGTAGTGCTTGCCAGAAATATAAGCGCAGAAACAATCGACAAACAATGCGGCGCCACGAAATAACAAGTCCACTATCGAATGTGCTACGCCTTGATATTTTTACCGTTCTGGCCAGATGTTGCTTGCACTAGGTTATTTCAAGTATGACAAGATAACACGGTTTTACTAATACGTCCGGCAGGTCTCGACATGAATAACGCTGAAAGCCCGTCACGTGCGTCGTCAAACACTGTTCTCCAGACTCGTGTGGCACATGCTGGTATACAACGGGCTGCAGTATGCGGGTATGCACGCCCCGGTGACTGTGGAATGTACCTAAAAACTTTGATAACAGATAGTGGCAATTAAAATGCGAAAGTGATAAAAATAAAGAAAGACAGATCTCACGTACCTTGGGAATCGTCGTTATGCGAAGGGTGACGTTGGAAGGTGACAGCTTTGCAAATTTTATAATCATCAAAAGGTTAAAATGTAACGCTAAATATAGTGCAAATGAACGCAAAGGCATACGTTAGTAAGCCACATATTCTGTTTATAACCAGTTCTCTGATGTTGTGTAAGGATGCCGACAGCAACTCGGATATTAGCAACACCACAAGCGGTAGAGAGAGAGAGAATAAGGATGAAAGAAGGGCAGGGAGGTTAACAATGGCTCAGCCTGCTACCTTGCACTGGAGAGAGGGTAAGGGGAATAAAAGTTAGAGAAAGAGAGAAGGAGAGAAATGTCACTGAAGCCGTCGGCAAAACGGCAGTTATGTGCTTATCATAACAGACGATGAGCCACATCCGTGTCTTCATCAATTAAGCACATCCGTTGCATTAACTTGTATGCGCAGTTCCATGTACCCAAAATCTTGCGGATGGTGAAGACACGATGATGCTGCTTGCGTTCTCAAGCAGCAGACTTCAGAAGGCTTGCAAGAACTGGAGTGATGGTGTCAAGCAGTTGCAACACGCTTTTAGCTGTCGGTGTCTGCATCTGGCTCAGCAGCATGCGCATAGCACTGACCAGGGTGCTAACAATGCTAACAAGTTGTTCTTCGTCCGTAAAGTTATGAAATGCCGATGAAGTGTCCCTCACTGTCGAAGTCTGATGCCTCTCATCAGGCGCGTGTATCTTTGGAAGTTCGGGCCAACCGTCACCTGCATTCCTGGTAGAGGCATGATTTTCCTTTAAAACAGCTGCGTTCTGATTGGGTAATAATGAAGAAGCGTCAGCTCCACTGCTAGCAGAAGCGCCTTTGTTCTTGGAATCAACAGCCTTTGGCCAGAATGGGGGAGTCGGAGGTGGTTTTGGGCGTGCCTCTCGAGGCGACGAGGTTTTGGTGGCTTTGGTGCAGCGCCAGCGACGGGACCGTCGTCGCGTAATGGATGCAGATGCTTCACGGTATGAGATGCCATCTCTGGCCCCTTTCTTCAGTATTGTTAGCTCCTTTCGAATAAAAGGACATTCCTTCGAAGAGGCATCATGCGGCCCATTGCACTTTGAGCACTTCAGAGTCGTGGCCTGGAACGTGTCTTTATTGTGGTGCCCAGTGCATCGGGAACAGACAATAGAGTTCGTGCACACACCACTTACGGGACCTAACTTCATGCACTTCCAGCACTGAAGTGGTTTCGGTAAAAAAGGGTGAAATGCGTGTCGGAAGTGGCCCACGTTTACATGTGATGGAAGTGATTTGCCCTTAACTGTAATTTTTACCCATCGTGATGTCCCGATACGCCATATACTTGTAATAATGGCACCTTCCGAAGCCGGCCTAATCAAGACTGGTAGGTCCGAGTTGGTAATGGCTTCGGCAACATCATATATCGCCCCTGTGCTCACTTCTTTGCCCAGCGGTATATGAGAGCGGACTTTCATCCCATTATGTTCCGTTACTTCATGCAATCTGTCAAGCGTGGTCACATATTTGACTACAATCAGTAGGACGTTCTTGCAGCTATTCACTCATACTTCCTTTACTTCATTGGGCACTAGTGTCTCTAGCTGTACAGACACGGCTTGCCGGTTAAGGCATCTCATGTCGTCACTAGCGAGAACTGGCATGAAAAGGATGGATATGTAGTGAAGAGGAATGCCCACTGCCGCAGCGACGTCGACACGTTGGCGCGAGGCGTGAGCTGGGCCTGCCTGGTTGCTGCTCCGTAAGTCCATAGAAGAGAAAAACTCCGCACCTTCGAGGCTGTCAAGGGCGTCGTCGATTCTCGGTATGGGGCAAACGTCCTTTCGAGTTATTTTGTTAGGACAACGGTAGTCAACACAGAAGCTAATTGACTCGTCCTTCTTCTTAACGAGAACGGCTGGAGATGTCCAAGGGCTATTCGAAGGCTGGATGACGCCACGCTTGAGAATGCCAGCTACTTGGTCACTGATTACCTGGCGCTCTGTCGTTCACACGCGATAGGTTCTTTGACGCAGTTGTGCATTGGTGCCCGTGTCGATGTGGGGACACACAGCTGATGTGCGGCCGAGGGGACTACGCTGGCAGTCAAAGGAAGAACGGAACTTGTTCAGGAGTCGTAGAAGGGGAGCCCGTTGCGAAACGTTTAACGTGTCGGCGATGGAGCTGCTCAGTATGTCAGGTCTACTAGTCTGTGGCAAAGAGGCACAGGTCAATCCAGCGACTTCGTGTTCGGCGAAAGAACCAGTCGGCATGTCAATAATGCAGAAGGGTCGAGATTGTAAACACGCCCGACGCACTCGCCCTGAAGTAGTGTTACAGGATATGACAGCAGATTTGAGATGAGCAAA